TACTCTAATCCATAATAGTGCTCGTTGAAGACCTATTTGTTTAATGAATTAGAGCCTTGTTTAGTAGTCTATCATTAAGAGTATAGAAGGCTATTACAGAGAGTATAGAAATGTGATAATATGAGTATAATATTACTGAGAGTATAGAAATGTGATAATATTACTGAGAGTATAGAAACCATACCTGAACATTTCTGTATTTCTTTATTAAATATTTCAAAAAGTATATTTATATATTAAACCCCCAAGGGATTTCTATAATACTCGAGGTACTCTCGTGATCATAGAGTTATTCTTCTCCATCTAAATTTTCGATAGATTTTAGTTCGTTGAAAGCTAACTTAAAAGGCAATATTTTAATTTTAAAACCTAGATACTTGATAAATATCTCATGGCAATCATAGCACCTGAGAGGCATTGTGCAAGAATTATGATTTATCTCGAAGAAGGAACATTTTTGGGTTGAAAACAAGATTCCAAGAGTTCCTCTGTAGTTCAATTTTTTGTTCAACGACTTTTATTAAAGTTATTGAAAGTATTTAAAAGAAATTAGGATACGTTACTTCTTCACGAAATTACTTTACATTTGAAACCTCATTCAAAATAATTCATCGCTCCTGAGAGTTGAAAAATAAGTCTATACTACCATATTATGTATAGTTTAGATATTTTGTATAATTCGTAAAAAATACCTTAAAACATAATAAAAAACTGTTGATGAAATTAACTAAGCCAAACTAGACTCTAATATATATATATATATATATATACTTTTATAGATATATATACATATATAATAAAAGGATAAATTATTGTTTGGATCTGGAGTCAGTGAAACAAGTCGATAAAAGAGCACAACTAAAGCTGTATTTCCACATTAATGACTAAAAACGCACGATTAAAGATAAGAAAATCCTCTTAGATAAGTAATTAATAAGAAGTTAAATGAGAGACTGATTAATAAATAATTGTATTATCTGCATATTAAAGATATTATCTAGTTTTTTCAACATGCGTTTCAACTTATCGGTCTATATAGCTGTGTTTCACAGATTTCCTTTCTTTTTTTTTTTATCAAAAGAGATTATGTATTAATATAAGCGAATATATATATATATATATATATATATATATATATATATATATATATATATATATATATATATATATATATATATATATATGTGTGTGTGTGATAACTGAGGTCAAGCACCACAAATCTTTTGTGAAATGAAAATTCCGTTTTAATTTTTTTTTGTTTTAATGAGGAGGGCGATTGTGGATGAAAATCATCTTATATTTTCGTCTTCGTTATTTCCGTTAATGGAAGAGTTGCTTTCGACTATTTCTAAATGATCAATTCCCTTAACAAGACAGCGTATAATTAACGGAAAAGTCAGTCGAGGAGTGTTTATTATTCGAAATTACCGAGTTCCTGAGACACTAAGTATTTTCTGAAGAATGAAAGACAAAAATTAGGCCCATTTGTTCGACTGAGTTGGAGATTCAAGCATCCCATCATTTATCAGCTTTTATTCAATAATTCTTATTATTGTTTGAATGTTAAATTTACAACAGATTATTTCCGTTTAACTAAATGTGTGGTTGGGATGTTCCTTTTATAATACTGTCAATTATTTTTGTATATAATAATACATATCTTATAGGATGTTCACGTCTTCATATATTATGAGAAAAAAAAATAAAGGATATCTACGAAAAAAATATATCTAGTTAATATCTTTAATATAATTTATATATGAATCCCTCTCTCATCTAACTTCTTATTAGTTAGCGAAAGATGTGGTAACTTTGAGACTGGGTGGGCAACTTTGGGACAGCGGGTAAAATTAGGCTTGAGGTGATGCCGTGGTGGATATACTGTGTTGGTTCAGTCTGCAAAAACGTACTTTGTGTAGAGGAATGTACTGCCCTTGCGGCTACCTTGCGGCACAAGCGAAAGTTTCATAAAAACAAGAATTATGAAAAATTCTATGGAAATAAATAAAACCTAACTGCACAAGGAGTGTAGTGAATTAGGGTTATCAAACTGCCGCAAGTTAGTAGCGCTGTACATGCCTACACAAAGCACGTTTTTACAGACTGAACCAACACAGTGTATCCACCACGTAATAACCACAATTAATGCGAAGGTACATGCTCTTGTTTCACTGACTCTAGATCTAAAAAAATTCCCAAAAAATAAGAATGAGATTTAACTAGATATATAAAAAATAACAATTAATTAAAAAAATTTAACCAATATGACTAAATTAACTATCTAAGATTTTCAGTCCATATTCCTGACTTCAATAAGCGTTATATCTTTTATGGGTGCTTAACAGTACTAATTTTTTTTTTTTTAAATCTAATGCAACATATTTAGTTACGTAGTTGTTAAATAATAAATGAGGATAAGGCATGTGGATTATAATGTATGTTAAGTTAATGGAACTTCTAGGACGAAGTTCAAATATGAATTCATATGTTTCTTTAATTGTTTCAATTTTTTAGGATCTTATCAGAGCCTTCCTTATGGCCGGGCATCCTGGAAGGAGGTGTCCGCCACTTGTTTAAAAAAAAAAGAGTAAAAAAAAAAGTTTCAAAGCGTATGAGAATAAATGATTTTAGTCAGTCAATGAAGCAAGTGAATTAGAAACATATTAAATGAAATATTACTTATATATTACTAATATATAAAACAGTTTAAGTAATAAGTTAATTTTTTTTAGGAGAGGATTTCTCAGTTCTCTCTCAGGGAGATGACGTCATTCTCTGGGGGCGTCAAATTTCTAAGGCCGGCGCTGGATTATATCAAATCAAATTTTAGGTAGTAAGAAAAAGCCAGACTTTAAAAAAATATATCACTTATTGCTGCATTTATTGGTTTATAAACGATATTAAATAAAATATTACCAAAAAACAAAATTAGTAGTAATATTATAATCATTATAATTACTATGTCAAAACTGCACTGTTTCAATAAAACAGATCCCAGAAATTCAAATAAGAAATATATTTTAATATGAACGTCGCAGTGAAAACAAGTGAATGATGTATTCATATATATTTATTTGGAAGTGACAAATATATTAAGTGTAGATTGTTTTATATAAGTAAAAAACTGTTTGCGTTAAAACCTGTAGATGTGATTTGTGGTTTTAAAAAGAAAAATATAGCAAATTATAAAATATAATATATTAATAAATTAAAAAAGAAACTTCAATTTTCTCTAAATATCTTTATATCCTAAATATCCTTATCAGGCATTTTGATTTAAAATTTTGGTATGTGATTCTCATATCCAGAATATGATCTTTTCATCAAGTAAAAAATATTTGCTTCTATTTTTACTTTAATTTATACTATAAAATGAATTAATGTTAAATGCTGATAATATTTATTTCGAAAAATATTATCTAAAAAATTGATAACTTTCATTGGGGGCACCAAAATTAAAAGGAGTATTCAAAAAGGGTTGCCTTCCTCTCTCCCCCTCTCCTCTCTGGCACAATTCTAATTCTGATCATGGTTAAAGTGAAATATGGTTATTTAAAATTAAAATTTGTTCACATATTCTTATCTACAAAATATTTTTAGTTTATAAATTATAATTTGCATACGCATTAAATATTTGAGGATTCCAATATTTTTATATTCTAGATCGCATAACGGGTTAATAATCACTTTTAGTTAGTAAGCAATACAATTTTTTTTATATTTTGCAGTATATTTTTACTTATTAAAATGTGCCTTATTTAGTAGCAATAATAAGTAATAATGCCATTGGTTTGTATTTCTCGTTCATTAACATTATATTAGGGGATTGAAAATTTACAGGGAAAAAAAGGTTTTTTATTCACTTTTAGAGGAAAGTACTTTAAAAAAAAAAGAAGTAAACATACTCCACAAACTAATCGCCTGGTTTGTTCCTGCTAATATAACATCTGAATAAAAGAATAAAACTTCTCCATACGAACATGGGCCTTGAATAATCGTTCTGCCATTAGATTTTTTTCCCCCTTAAAGTCCCTGAGGAGCCATTACGGGGTCTCGTTGAGAGGGGAAATCTTTTTTTAATGTTTACAGTAATTGAACAATTAAGGGCGTTTCTACTAATGAGAGAAACACAACTTGGCGGGTTGCATTGTTCCATTTCAAATTCATTCATTTATATCTTCTTTTTCCTATTCTGTTCATGAAGAATTTATTTTTTGCAAAGTTCAAAGAGCAATTCAATTTAACTGAACGTTTTAGATCGCTCCATCGTTCGACAACATCAATGTTATGACCCAATATTAATTTAATTACACATATTTGATGACAATTTATTAAATCAATTTGCACTTTTTAGTTACCTAGCTTTGCCATAAATACTGTTACAAAAGTTGAACTTTGTTTACATCCTTGGGCATTATTTAGATAATCCTTATCTCTATCAGGTTATTTGCTTTACATGTCAGTATAATAATCCCAATTAGTTTGTATTTTTCTTTCACTCAGTTAACATGGAGTGAGATGATAACGAAAACCGAATAGCTGTGATCGCCTTACACAAAGTTGGAAAATGTAGGTCAGGGATTTTCAACACTTGAAACCTTTGCGTATCAGCAATATGATCGTGTACCGCATTATAAATAGATATAATGAGACCCTATCTGTAAGTGGCAGACCTCGACCGGGCCTTCCCCGCATTGTGATAACGGCAAATGCAATGAAAGCAGTGGCTGCTCGAATCAGAAGAAACCCCATTCGGAAACAACAAATCATGTCTCGGGAAATGGGAATCTCTGTCAGATCAATGTCTCGCATAATAAAAAGTGACCTTAGGATGGGTGCATTTTGAAGAATGACAGGACAAAGGCTAACCACTTCTCTAAAAAAAATTAGTTTGGATAGATGCAAAGTGCTCCTTGGCCGTTACACCAATGGTCTTTATCGAAAGATTTTGTTTAGCGATGAGAAAAGTTTTACAATTGAAGAAAAGATTAATCGCCAAAATGACCGTGCGTACGCACGCAGCTCTAAAGAAGCCCAGGAAATCATTGGAAGAGTGGAAAGAGGTCATAACCCTTCCTCGGTGATGGTTTGATGGGGAGTTTGCTTTGGTGGCACCACAAAGCTCCATTTTTGTGAAAAAGGAGTTAAAACAGACGCTAAAAACTATCAGGACGATATTTCGGTACCTGTTTCAAGCCTCTAAATGATACTCTGTTTGCTGGAAGTCATTGGGTTTTCCAGCAGGATTCCGCTCCAGCTCACAAGGCCAGGTCAATTCAGCAGTGGCTGCAAAAGAACATTCCAGAGTTCATCTCTGCTTTGGATTGGCCCTCAGGAGGCCCTGATCTCAGCTTTGGTCAGAACAGAAGAGGCATGTCACAGAGCACACTCTAACTTAGAAAGCCTCAAACAACCGAGCAGTTGAGCATTTTCCTCAAGAGGTGCTGCGTGCTGCCATTGATGACTGGCCATCATTCTTAAATGTGTCAAGACAAAATGAAAACATTTTGAGTAATTTCTTTTTTGATTTACTCTCTATAGGTATAAATTTTATTTTCTAATGAAGTTTTTGAAAAAAATAATTTTTCGGTTGAAATCTGTATATATTTCCTTGTAACAATATATATGATAGTATTAGTGGTATATTTAGGAAACCTGAAAGATTTATTTTTTACCATTTTTTTTTTAACAAGACATTATATATATATTATTTAATAATTAAGTAATATCATTAAATAATATGTTCATTCTATACATTACAAAGGAAATGGTTGTATGCGTATTACAAGCTACATCACTGTAATGTAGGATAGATTTTACAAACAGTTCATCTTTCTTATTATAACGCACATATATAATTTACAAAAAAAAAAAAAAAAAAAGAATCGAACTATTTCGAAAGTAGGCGGAAACCTGAAAAGGCCGCTAAATGCACGATGTTGTGCAAGAGCTCTTCGGCAGTTTTGCTAAAAAATTAGTAAAATAAATACCTGTTTGGGTATTAATGAAAGTTGAATTTATTTAAATATTAACGATATGATCAAATCGTAAGTAATAAATTTCATTTTATTTTTATAAATTAGGATATATAGTTTGAATAGCGACAAAAAATTTAACATTGTAATTTGTTAGAATAGCATAATATGTGTGAAATTATTAACAAAACGGTAAAAATGGTACAGTTTTATTTATTTTTCTTTGTATTAAGATTGGATTTGAGAATGCTAATGAAAAGGAGTCATCTAATCAGAGATCAGTGGTTTCTATAACTTAATTTGCCAGTGCCCGCCAACAGTCTCAACTGTAAAAAAAATATCCAGTCTGATACGGTTCGGGTTTGTGTTAGCTTATTTTTATTTTAATTTACAGTGTATTTAAAATTGTTTCCTTCTCTTACCTTAATGATTATTTTTATTTTCTGCGTTATACATCCGGTTTAATAATGGTTAAAAGTGTAATGGGCTTAAAGACGTGTGTATTTTATGAATGAATAAATTATTGAGTCTATTTCAAGAAAAATATGTTTAGCCATATGAATACTGAATGGTAAGATTTTTTTTCTTATTTACTCATTCTAAAGGATTATTTAGTCAGAGGTATTTATATGATACATTTATTCATGGATTTATGTCATTTGTTTTGTTTTTTTAATTTAGTACCTTCCAATGCTTTCACAAATTCTGAATTATCCATTAAGGTGTTGAAATTGATGAAAATTCACAAGATGCATCTAATGCCTACCAACAAAAATTATTTAAAGTTTTGAAATTGCCTTAACTAATTAAAAAAATAAGCCATACTTTCAAATATTATATATTTATATCTGCACTATCAAGTACAATAGTTTTTTTATCTCAATACGTTTGATTATTGAATATTCACTAAGTACCATTCATTGTGCTATTCATTTATAAATCATTGCTTATATTTTTAATTTTTATTACACATCATTTTACTTTTATTTTATATACATAGTGCATTAGTGGTGTTAATTTAAATTATATTTATGAAGAGATTCATGTATATTGTATTTTTTTTACTACAGTCTTTTAACAGCTAAAATTCAGCCATGAATATACTATACATTCTCTTCCTGTAACAAAGTGGTTAAGATTAACACTTATTATTGAACTTTCTAATGAGAACAGAAATAAATATAAGAAGAAATAATCTGTTTATACCTCATTATTATTAGTGTTGTATAATGTAGATTTGTATTCGGTTAAATTATCTTAAAGAATATTCACTAGTATATATAAAATATGCTTAACATTATAATTTGTTATTGGTGAAATGAAAATTTCTTATGTTAAAGGAAAAATGTGCTGTTTCCACACTTAGTCTCACACTTTGGTCCCTAAAAGTGAACTGGAAGTTGTAAGGTGAGTGCCAATAAAAATATAATACTTGTTTGTATTTAGTTCATCTAGATTGATTTATCTTTTAGTTAAAGCTTATTTTGGTCTAATAATTGATAGAATCTTGGTTTTACTTATAAAAGTAGAGTTTTCAAAGTTGTCATTCCTATGTTATGTTTCGATCAGTTACTTTTTTTTCATTACACATTAGTGATGAAGATTAAAGATAGCTGCATTCAAATTCATATAAAGCTGTTTTTAATGTATAAATATATATTTTTAAAAAAAGCTATGTTCATTTACTACTTCATTTGTAAAAGTGGGCCAACAGTCTAAAATTTTGAATTCGAAATTCTCAAGTGATCATTTGAGACAGGAAATTGATTGAGATCAGAAACTGATAAAAAATGAACACTTATTTTGTTTTGTGATAAAGTTATAAAGTTTTCTAAGGAGCCAATAGGTGTAATTTTTCTGAATGTGTATTTATAGGTATATCTTCATTTATTTATTTTATACATATTGATCTATTAACACTATAGCTTTAACTATAATCATCATACAGCAGTTGATTTTATTATTAAATTTTAGTAGATTTTGTAATTTGTTCAGCTGTTTAAAGTAATTTTATTATGAATTGCGGAAACCTCATATCTCCTTATTTATAGAAATGGACAAATGATGAAGTTTCTGGAATTCTAGGTTCAATTGGTTGTGATTTTATTTACTCATTTTACTTTTACTTATATGTAAGTATTGCAATAATAAAAATTTTCAAATCTGGGTTTTCAACGGAAATAGATGTTTGGGTTCCCCTGTGTTGAACTCCAAATAACCAAATCCCACAAAATAGTCTGAGTGTATGTGTGTGTGAACAGCCTCAAACAGGAAAAAAAAAAGAAGGAAAAGTTGTACAAAATTTAAATTGTCTATTTAAGGTTTATATATCGCTGGAATGTTACAGTAAATTTTTCTTTGAAATCGGCTAACCGTAATTGGCAATTTATATCATCGATTTTAGACATTTTTAAGATTTTCTCAAAAACTTGATTAAATTCATTATATCAGTATAGAATTAAGCAATTTTTAATATAATGTAGGTTTTATTCTCATTGATGTTCTCTAACAGAGTTTAAATTATCAATTTTCAACATTTCTTTCTCTAAAGTACCTTTAATTTTTATATTTGAAATAGTTGATCATTTCTGATTGGAATCTGATATAAAAAATAGTTAAATATGACATAATTCAATAATGATCTAAAGTATAAGTAACCTAATATAATAATAGGAAACCGACGAAACCCGAGCTTTGTTGAACTTGGTCGAAGGTTAGAACAGGCTTCTATACATAAACATGTGCAATTTTCATAAATTTGCTCAAACAAATAACAATACGTACAACGAAATATCTACATATTTAGCAGCCTTCTTTATCAGTGGCACTCATGTCTAAAAATATTTTACGGTACTTATTATGATCAAATAAATAATTAAAATATACAATTGTTAAAGGCAATGATTAAAGAGAAAAAAGTATAATACATAAGACGGCTGTGAAGAACATATGGTAATTGATAATTTACACAAATATTTTGTACTGTCTGTGATTTTTACTTTCTCTTCCCTTTGTCTGAAAATACCTATTTCCAGAAAAGAAAGATGGTAAGTGAAAGTTGTGTGATGTGCGCACTGTACCAGATTTTTTTTATTTCTTCATTATCTTTTATAACACAATTTCGTATACATTTATAAGGAATTTAACCTAAAATATAATTCACACCTAAGATGTGGAAATTGTTTGGATGTGTATTCGCTGCAATTTTTCGAACTATGTTGTTGGTCTTCTCCAGAGTTGTCCAGTAATATTGAAAGAAGAGTGAAATTTTCAATGTGCCCAGTTATTTCTCCACCTCCGACATTAGTGGACAGCTCTGACAAAGACTTATAACCTAGGTAAAAATGTAAGCAATCAATAAATATAATTTTCATATATTATATGTGTGACATTCGATCACATCCTCCAACTATGTACCTTCTTAAATTAGAACTATGGTTAATAACTTCCATACTTTTTTAATCCTCCAACTTAAGTCTTAATAGTTACCCTCAGATGTTTAACCACTGGTTCAGTATTGATTCGCTTTCTAGGAATTTGTTTCTTTGCAACTTTACCTTCCTGTTTAATCTGACTCACTTTTATGGCTTAAATTATATTTACTTACTTATGCCCTGCAATCCTGCTTTCTATTATCTTAAAAATTGTATAGTGGATTTATCTTGCTTTAGGATATGTATTTCAATAAAAAAAAAACAACTAAATAGTGGAAAATGTAAAGATTTATGATTATTTCAAATTTCTCTAGTAAAACAGAATTATATCATTTAATTGTTTTTTCTTTAGTAAATTCTTGGTTCAGCTGTCATTCAGAAATACAATATTTTCAGTAGAAGTTATTCTTATAAATTATATTATTTTTTATAATAGTTATTTTTGCTCGAATGTGCTTTAAAGAATATAGTTCTTCCAGAATTTAATTTTTATTTTTATTTCATGGATAATCTACCTATGAGTAAGCTTGTTTACTAATAGAATTTGAAGTACATCTCGCATAATTGTTATTTGATTTAATTAAGAGGGAATGAGGAAGTGGGTTATTGCCATCTTAATCTCCTATAACTATAAACCAAATTCATGGAAGAGATATTAGAACAATATTGTACTAAACCCTATTGATGAAATCCAAAAACATACATTTCATACTTGCTTAAATAAAAAGAAAAATAATTAATAAGGAAAAATATGAATTATTTAATGCATCATAAGTGGATGGGAAAATCCATATATACCAATCTCTTATCCTGACTGCTTTTATTTACAGAAAATAATCTTTGTACTTAACTTTTGGATTAGTGATTAAGAAAATCTGTTGAAACTTCTAACTTTTGAGAAGAATATTTTAAAAGGGTAATTGACGTATATGATAGAAATCTTGTAATTTCAAATTATGGCATTTACTGACTACTTTTTTTTTTACTTAGCTATTTATACATAATGCAAATGTAAA